GCTAACCCTAAAGCTAACCCTAAAGCTAACCCTTACCTTAACTTGAATCGGCTTGCTTTCAAAGCGCTATTTAAAGCGCCCTTCTTTCTCAGCGCTCGCTGTTGTCGCCCTGTTGATGACGTCAGCGACGCGGTTTAATCGGGTGCGCTTTAGTCGAGCGCGGTTTTGTCGTGCCACGAAAATAGTGTAGGTTATATTGTATGATGACTGCTCCTACTATGCAATCTAAAAAAAAAAGTGAAGGGCATATTTTGTTGAATAATAAAAATAAATTAAAATGTCTCTTAACATCCAATGGAAGCAGCAATTATAATACACTGTTTTTTTTTGTTTTTTTTAAGTGATCTTCTTACCACAACTCCAGAAACCAATCTATTTGTATTCAGTATGATTTGAAAAAATAAAACGTTCAATTATTTCCTAAGTTATACTAGCTCCAATGAAAATATAACCACTGTAGCATGAAGATTATATTCTGTCCTTAAATCAAAAGTTAACAAAGCCAACATAGTAATTATAGGTAGTCCTCGACTTATGACCACAGTGGAGCTCAAAATTTCTGTTGCTAAGCAAAACATTTCTTAAGTGAATTTTGCCCCATTTTATGACTTTTCTTGCCACAGATGTTAATTGATTCATTGCAGTTGTTAGGTTAGTACCACAACTGTTAAGTGAATGTGGCTTCCCCGTTGACTTTACTTGTCAAAAGGTCTGAATTTTGATCACGTAACCATGGGGATGCTGCAAAAGTGTGAAACTCGACCATAAGTAACTTTTTCCAGTGCCATTATAACTTCACTTAATGGTTCACTTAAAGTGACCATTACAACGGTCACTTAATGAACTGTTGTAAGATGAGGACTACATGTATAGCTTAATGCTTGCGTATAACTTTGTATTTTACCTAATGTCTATTTTTGTGTGCAAGAAGGTATACTATAGAACTCAACTTATACGTGCAAATAAGCTATAAATTCTACTTTCCCCATAGCCAAGTTTTTAAAAAGATAGTTGTGAGCATTTTTTTTACTATGTATAGCGTAAAGTTAGTTATCCAGAATCACCTATATGGAAACAGTGCAGCATATTTTGTGGGGTGTGACCTCAGGGGCAATGAATCCTGCTTACCCAGGCAAATCAATGATTGAGGCTTAACCGTTGCCCTGTACAGTAACAGAGTTGGAAGGGACCTTGGAGGTCATCTAGTCCAACCCCCTGCTCATGCAGGAGACCTNAGAGTAGGTAGGTAGGCAGATGTTTCCAGGTGTATTTATCCATGTGCTGGAGAAGGGAACTTTGTTTCTGCTGGCACAGCACTTGATCAATGTAATTCTCATCAATCAGTTAAAGAGCTTTCCAAAAGGAAAAAAAAAGTTTTTGTGCTCTGCAAACCTCCGAAAAACAGCCAGTTTTTCACAAAAACGAGCCTGGTTTTTTTCAAATAAAAGACATGAACAGCCTTGGGGCAGCTTGCAGAGTGCTCCTGGGGGGCGGGGGGAGGCAAAAAAGAGCAAAAAACGGGCCTGTATTTGTTAAACAAATTGCATGCATAGCCTTATGGATGCTGGGGGATGGGGGGGCAAAAAACAGCTCATTTTTGCTCGTTTCTGCCCTCCCCAGCCCCCAGAAGCTAAGGCTCATAAGGCTATACAGGGCCATTTTGGTGAAGGTGGAGGGGCTTCGGGAGGGGGAAAATGCTGTATTTAATGTATAAGACGCACCCAGATTTTCAGCCTCTTTTCTGAGGAAAAAAGGTGAGTCTTATACTCCAAAAATACGGTAGATAATGTTGGGTTTGACAAGAATAGAATTTGACACCTTACAGCAGCTAACATAGTGTTATCAATTCTTTTTTTTAACATATACATTCACATGTCCTTTTTATTTTCTTTTTTATCCCTGTTAATTATTTTAACAAGTTTTGCTGTTCTTTTCATCTCTGAACATAGAAAAATAAATGAAATCAAATAATTAAGGAATAATATCTAATATTGTGAAGCTTACAGAGTAATAGTGTGTGAGATTGATCAGTGCTTTGACAGAGATAAATTATGAAGCTATATTGCAATTATATTAATACATAAAACACATTTTTTCACAAAATCATGCAGGAAAGCAACACTCCATCTGAATTAAATCTCAAGACAGACATACAGCATGGAAATCAGAAAGAGAAAGAAAAATGTGAGTGTTTCAGAAAAATCATTATTGAAATGATTGGTGAAATAGAATACTGTATAATGATGTCACCAGATTCATATAGTAACATTTTCTATTTTAATTACTTCAGTCATTTTTCAAATTGTATTACTGTAGCCTATTTTATATTTCACTTTTTTATTTAGGTGAAAGTATTAGCAGTGATACTTCTATTGGATACAACCATGAAATGGGCATGAGTTTGGCTACCTGGCAAACATGTGAAGAAAATAATGATATATCCATGCACGCTGACATTTCCGTTGATCCAGAAGCCCATCAGTGGTTGGCTACCAACTTCTCAGGTATGTAGTCTTAAAAGGGAAAGATAAACTGAATTGGTATTAATCGTAACATTATACTTCAGCTAAGGAAACTGAGTTATGAAATGGTTGAGCTTTCTGCCATCTTGTTTGGAGATCAAACAAAGGACATGACATCATTCATTCATTCCATGCTCAGAGGCTTGTACCAACTCTTCTGTTTTGCCTTCCCTAGTGATTAGTCCTTTCACTTCTTCCCAGACATGGGAACATATATGGTATTGTCATATTTCTTAAGTGCCTAAACTCTATTAACTTTAATATATGTAATAGAAGAGTGTATGTCTGTATAAGTGTAAACTTTTATTTTTGCATTTACTTTTCCATTGATACAATAATCCTCTAAAGTGAGAAATAGCTGGCATACCTTGATTGGGTTTTAGGTACAAGTCCAATATGTTTTTTCTCCCGGGAAATTTAATCAGTGTGTTAATTTTTATCATGCTGATGTTCAAAAACATTTTATTCAAGCTGCTGCGTTGATGGTTTTATTGTCTTTATCATCTACTTTTTTCTTATTATGTTGTATTTTATATTTCAATTGCTCTAGAAATTTGCATGATTTTATTCCAGTATAACTAAATGGAAAACCAGGTTTCTTTTAAAAAAATATTTTTATATTTCATCATTATAAGACATGTATATGATTTCAATAAAGTGGTATTTAAGCATTGTTGATGCGTTAAAGGTCTATCTTTACACCTTTAAAGGTAGGAGAAAATGAAATTTATCTTTGTATTTTTGTTTCTAAATTTTAAATGAATAAAATTTGATGTCTTTTTGCACATATGTTAATATGTGGAAAGGCTCATGCAAACCATTCTTTCTTTTAGACAGCAGTGAATTCCTTGCTGATGATTATAGCATAATTGCTGGTGGCACTCTTACTGGATGGCATCCTGACTCTGCAGCTGTACTGTGGAGAAGAACTTTAGGAATTCTTGGAGATGTGAACAATATCCAGTCTCCTAAAATACATGCCAGAGTTGTTGAATATCTCTTTGAGTTATGGCACAAATTAGCAAAGGTAAGGTTGAATGTTATGATAAATTTACTGTGAGGTAAGCAGCTAAAATAAACATTGCATAATATATTCAAATCAAATAATTATAGTTCCTGAAAAATAATTAACAGTATAATTTAATGATAGAAATATTTATATGAAAGTGATGTATTCAAATTAATAGATTATAGTAGATATGCAATATTAAGGGATAATTGTGGATTCAAGTTATTGTTAGGACTACTCATGACTTCATAAGGTTCTCCTCTTATATTAAACATTTGCTACTTAGCCACAAGTTAATTTTTATGGCATGATGAAGGCCATACACCCAAATGGGCACAAATTTGGAAAGTTTCAAGCTGTGAAATGAATGTCTTGACTATTTGTAGTAAGCCACCCAAAAGGCACAAAAGTACTCCCATTTTTTTGCCCCACACATGTTAAAAAACAGAGGCTAACTTGCTAGATGTGGTCCCTACGTCAAACATTTTGGAACCCTGTATTTTAGCTAGCATGATGGTCTCCAATAGCAGACATTTGCTAAACGAATACTGGACTAAATAAGGAATAAATGAACTAAAATCCAACAATATCTAGAAAGCGATGGATTCTCCATCATTCCACTAATGTGTTTAGAACAATTTTAATGTGTATTTCTTTTCGGCAAGCTAATGGATCTTGTTCCATAGAAAATGGAGACATTTGCAAACAACTGCTCCAATTTCAGAACCCTGTTCATTACAGAATAATGATGAAAAAAGGCAATAGGAGAAATGCATTATTTAAAATTCCATTGATTCCTGTAAAATGAAGAAAAGAAAGAACATGTATAGACCATCTCACGTCTTGGTCTCATCAGCTAAATTTATTCCAACCAATTAGAAAATAACTGAGAACCAATATTTTGCATGTAAATGTTTAAGAAGAATGCAACTAACTTTATTAAGGCTGATGAAATTTAAAACACTTAAATTGTTTCTTGTTTATTTGTTTTAGATAAGAGACAATCTGGCAATAAGTCTGGATAACCAGTCTACCCCATGCCCTCCTGTTTTAATTCCACCACTTAGAATATTTGCATCATGGTTGTTCAAGGTAAGTTAGTTGTTTATTTGCTTTTGCATGAAAATGCAAATAGTTCGTGGATGGGCTTGGAACAGAGGGAAAGTTTTTTTATTGCCAAACAAGATGCCCTACTTAGAATTTTCCAGAATTACTCAGAATGCTTTTAGTGTCTTGTGTTCCAGGTGAAGAAAGTCAGAAACATTTTGAACATTCCACAAGAGGTGTGCATGACACAGAAAATGTATTTCTGTTTGAAACTGGGTTAAGTAGCCTTACTCAGCATGTTCTGAGTCAGCTGTATCCTAATATACCACTCTGACATATTGAGCGATCCACGTTCCAAACTTTCTAAATCTTCTGACCACATAATATAATGAGAACTTAAAAGACCTCCCAAAATAGTGGGTTCCACCACAAAACCGCGTTCGACTAAAGCGCACTCGACGAAACCGCGTAGCTGACGTCATCACAGGGCGACAACAGCGCGGAGACAGAAGCACNCTGTGATTGTAAATGTAATTGAGAATATGGATGCAAAAACACTTGTAACCAAACGACATGCTGTATATAATGGATGAGAATTTTTTTATGTTGTTCTTTTATGTTTAAAAATAAAAAGAAATTCCAAAAAAAAAAAAATGGTAGTGGGCCACAGGAAGGTAGGAATTGTGGGGACTTGAACAGATTTACTGAAACCTACTTGTTGAGAAGGAATATATAAAACTTGTATCATCACACTTTGCATTACTGGAGGTTTGCACTAGATTAGAAAACTTATCTATTTATCAATTAACAATTTAAGATCAACAATTAAAAAAATTTTTTTGAGTGTTTAAAAAAGTGTTTTGAACTAGCATCAGAAATAGAATCAAAACCACCCTGGTGAGGATATTTACATATTTTAATATATAATGGTCTGGTAGTTTCAGAGTTCACAAATGATTTAACAAAATGTTTTTTTTTTAGGCTACAACTTTACCCGATGAATATAAAGAAGGAAAGATTCATGCCTACAAACTGATATGTGCTATGATGACAAGACGTCAAGATTTTATGCCAAATCCTGACTACCTGGTGCATTTTTATCTTATCATGCACATTGGCTTAACTAACAAAGATCAGGTATTAATGAGATTGTTCTAATTTTAAAACTGAATTGCCTAATTTGGATCATAAGATTTTTTGTGTGTGTAAATGAAAGGAAATTCTGGAGTAGATTGAAATGAGGCTAAGGGGAAGAATGAATAGAGAAAAAAATGAATAACTTTTTTTCCAACATAGGATACAGCCTTTAATAGAAGGGCTTTCACCTCAAACCATTTTCACTTCATTTCTTACTGAAAACTGGTCGTCCCAGATATCCCTAGTATAAAGAGCATTTAGTTGCTTTTCCAGAAACAGCAGTTCTTCTACAATCTCACTTTGCCTGGAGAAGCCAAAGTGGGTTTCCACAGGCAACAAAGAAACACAAAGCCTATAGCTTTGTGAGATGGTTAAAGTCACGGATCTAGCCATTTGTTAGAAGTATCTAACAATCACAGACGTTTTCTGATTTACTTATTAATGTATTATGTATTATTTGTTTGATTTTGTTCATGAGAGGATTGCCAAACACTTTTTTTTAGATTACAACTTCAGCAGATGAATGTAAAGAAAGAAAGATTTGGGGGGCTTTTAGTATTGCAAACTTTCGAGAAAGCCTGTCTTACACTATAAAGGTGTCAAAAGCATCTGATTGAATTCTTCTGGATGACTTACAGGTTTAAAGGCCTAAAGATGTGAACTTAATACTTGACATTGTTCAGTAAAATACCTTTCTAGTTATTCTTTACTTCTTACAGCTTATTCAGAAATTCTGCCTTATTCAGATATAAGATTTGAATATATCAGATATATTATATAGCTAAATATCTCTGTTCATGAAAACCAATTGTAATTTGTGGTGGTGGGAAATTTCACAAGGTTTCTTCCTAGGAGCACCACAATGGGTTCTAATGTTTTTCTGTTATGCTTCCAATTACAGACTCAGAGTGGTTAATTTCTTAAAGCATCTTTAGCTCCCCTGCAGACTAACACGGAATTACAGCTAGAAGCATGTGGACAAATGTTTGGGAAATGGTTAATGGGCCGTCCTTGCATCAGAGCAAGATGTGATTTTGGGCTAGGCAAAGTATTGCACTTTTCTTGGAAATGAGAGGAGAGGGAAAGTAAAGAAGCTGGAATTGGAACAAATTATTGCTAATTTATATAATCCCCCTCAGTGTATTATATGTAATGTAATCTTTAGTAAGAATAGAATCAGTGGTAGGTTATGACTGGTACACCCCGGTACGGACATACCGGTGCCTGCTGGGAGCACCAGGTTCCATTCGGGTACGGTGCTCTGGAGGGCCCACTTGCCTGCCCACGCTCCTTATCGGTATTTGAGGTTTTCAGGGCTTACGCACATGTGCACGAAACGTACGGCGCCTGCATGGCACTCCGCCGAGCAGCTGGAGCGTTGCAGGCGGCAAGGCCCTGCGCACCATATTGGTTGCAACAGGATCCGGAACCCACCACTGAATAGAATGCTCAGCTGGATCTGGGAGTTATAAATTTGGTCTTACAAAGAATGATCTTAGCCTCATTATAAGAGGTCCCACGAGAGCATTCCTTAAAAAATGGATCCTGAAGATCTGAATAATTATAAATAGGATGGATTTGGTTTAAATCAAATTGATTCAATTCATAATTTAATTCATTAGTCAGGGAGAGCCAATTTAATGTTTTAAATAATTTCACTTACCAGGAATATTTCGCAATCATCATTTTTAGTAAAAGTGCTTGTTTGATACAGTATGAATGCAATGGTTTATTCAGGGATATATATAAATTTTAGAATGTACTTACATTTCATACAATTTTTGTCAGATTTTTAAAAAATCATTTTTATATAAAATAAAATTAGAATATTAATAGCAAATTAGCAGTTATGTAGTTGTGAAGACATTAGGAGATGAACCAGCTTCAGCTGAATTATTTGTGGGTATTTGAGAGATACATTTGCCATGTTATAACAGCATAACCACCAGCTGCTTTTAAATTGGCTTGTTCTCACTAATTTTCTTCAGCAAACAATAAAAATAGATTATTGCTTAAAACGTGCTCTTCTGATTTAAAGTACATTTTGTTAAAAATAAAGAATAGACAATTTAAATCAAGTCAGCACAAAACATTTAAAACTTTGGTAGAAGGCAAATAAAGTGCTCATCTGTTCCTTCTTTTTTCAGAGACTGGCAAAAGAAAGACAAATTGTCTTGCTTTTCAGTTTCCAAATTGCTTTGCAGTTTTCAGTGAATTATTCCAGAAGAAGAGAACACTCTTTGTAAACCACCAAACTAATTGCCACTCTTACAATTTGGATTAACTCCTTCAGTTTCTGAATCCAAATGTTTAAATTTCTTACTTAAGCTTCCTTTGTTGACAATCTCATGATAAAACATACATATATGGATTGGTCTAATAATTAAGGCATTAGGCTAGAAACCAAGAATTAGAATAACAGAGTTGGAAGGTAACTTGTAGGTCATCTAGTCCAACCCCTGGTCAAGCAGGAGACCCTATACCATTTCTGACAGATGCTGCCCATCTCTTCTTTAAAGCATCCAGTGATTGAAGCACCCAAATTTCTGAAAGCAAGCTGTTCCATTGGTTGATTGTTCTCACTGTCAGGAAATTTCTCGTTTCTAGGTTGAATCTCTCCTTGATCAGGTTTCATCCATTATTCCTTGTCTGGGCTCTATGGTTGATTGTTTACAATTTACAATAGAATTGTAAAGTCTAGTCTCTCCTGAGGCATGAAAAATCAGCTGGGTGACTTTGGGTAAGTCACTCAATCTCATTTCAACCCACCCCACAGGGTTGTTGTTTTTAGGGAAAACTGGTATCAGTTGTTTCAGGAAGAAATAAGGCATTGCTGTCTGTTATATAAGAACATATATATGGAAGTGTAAATATTGCTCTATCCATCAAGATTCAGAACAACAATTTTCCTCTATGGATATAAATTCGTACACTCCTTACTTTCTTCTTTATACACTATATCCAACTCTTAACAGAATAACAGAATTGGAACGGACCTTGTAGGTCATCTAGTCTACCTCCTGCCCAAGCAGGAGGCCCTACACTACACTATTTCTGATAGGTGCCAGTTCAGTCTCTTCTTGAAAACTTCCAGTGATGAAACTTCCACAGCTTCTGAAGGCAAACTATTCCATTGATTGATTGTTGTCACTATCAGAAAATTCCTCCTTATTTCTAGCTTGAATCTCTTTTTGATCAATTTCCATCCATTATTCCTTATTTGGCCTTCTGGTGCTTTGGAAAATAGGATGACCACCTCCTCTCTGTGACAGCCTCTGTGGAACACTGTATCATATCTTCTCTGGTCCTTCCCTTCAATAGACTAGCCACCAGTGGTGGGATTCGGCTGGTACGCCCTGGTACAGGTGTACCTGTGCCTGCTGGGAGCACCAGGTACCATTCCGGTACAGTGCTCCGGAGGGTCCACCTGCCCGCCCGTGCTCCTTACCTGTATTTCATCCCTTCAGGGCTTCCATATGCGTATGGAGCATACGGCGCCTGCGCGATGCTCCGTCGAGCAGCTGGAGTGTTGTAGGCGGTAAGTACTCCTGCGCGTGCTGTGCACATGTGTGTGCACGTGCTGTGTGCACATGCTGTGCGCATTCATGTGGTGGACGCCTGGCCCCATTTCACCATATCGGTTGGACCAGGATCCAGAACCCACCACTGCTAGCCATGCCCAGTTTCTGTAACCATTCTTCATTTGTTTTAGCCTCCAGTCTACTGATCATCTTTGTTGGTCTTCTCTGCACTATTTCTAGTCTCAACATCTTTTTTATATTGTGGTGACCAAAACTGGATGCAGTATTCTAGGTGTGGTCTTGATCGAATTGCTCTGTTAATGCAATTTAGGATTGCATTGATTTTTGGGCTGCTGCTGTATACTGTTAGCAATAGCAATAGCACTTAGACTTACATATCACTTTACAGCCCTCTCTAAGAGGCCTACAGAGTCAGCATATTGCCCCCAACAGTTTTGGGTCCTCATTTTATTCACCTTGGAAGGATGGAAGTGATTCAGCCTTGAGCCTGGTAAGATTTGAACTGCCTAATTGCAGGCAGCCAGTAGTCAGCAGAAGTAGCCTGCAGTACTGTACTCTAACCACTGCCCCACCGTGGCTCATATTTAATTGGTTCTCCACTAAGACTCTTAAGATCCCTCTCACAGTTACTGCTATCGAACCTGGTTTCTCCCAATCTATATGTGTACTTTTTGTTTTTCTTGTCTGGGTGTAAGACTTTACTTTTCTCTACATTGAATTTCATTTTGTTTGTTAGGGCCCAGTATTCAAATCTGTCAAGATCCATCTGGATGTTGAGCCTATCATCTCAGATGTTGGCTATTCCTGCCAGCTTAGTATCATCTGCAAATTTGATAAGTTCCCCTTCTACTCCCTCATCTAAGTCGTTTATGAAGATATTGAAAAGTACTGGGCCTAAGATGGAACCTTGTCGTACCCCACTACTTGCTTCTCTCCCTATAGATATAGGACCATTAAGGACTACTCACTGAGTACGGTTTTTCAGTTAGTTACAAATCCTTCTGATGGTGATGCTATCTAGCTTACCAAGAAATAGGTTGTGGTCTACCTTGTCAAATGCCTTTTGGAAGTCTAAGTACAGTGTACTATGTCCACAGCATTTTGCTGGTCTATTAATTTAGTTATGTCAAAGAATTAAATAAGATTGGTTTGGCATGATCTGTTTTTAACAAACCCTTGCTGACTTCTAGTTATTATTTTATTTATTTCTAGATGTTTGCAGATCTTTTCCAGTATCTTCCTTGGGTCTGTTTTTTCCCCCTCTTTTTTAAAGATGGAAGCCACATCAAGTCTTTTTCAGTCTTCTGGTAGTTCCCCGGTGCTCCAGGATTTTTGAAAGATATGGTGTAGTGCAGGGATAGTCAACCTTTTTATACCTACCGCCCACTTTTGTATCTCTGTTAGCAGTAAAATTTTCTAACCGCCCACCGGTTCCACAATAATGGTGATTTAT